GAGTTGTCCGGCATGGAATACGCGTCGCATGATCTTTCATAAAACGTCAGTGACAATGTAATTGCGCCACACATCCCCTCTCTAAATAAAATGCCAAATAGAAATGCTGAAGGGTGAAGTTGAGCATGGGCAACAGACAAAAAGTTGAGCAGAATTCGCCCTTTTCTTTCCTGTTCCTTAGTCGTCATGAGGATGAAAAAGGAGTGGAACAGTTTTCTGAAACTGTTCTGAGTGATGGGGTCGTAATGAGTTTTCTTCAAACTAACCCGAGTAGTTGTTGACTGTGGATTGAACCACAACTTTTTGTGTTGCGAAACCGTTTTTGAGGATATGCCTTCTTATATTTCCGCCCTGCGCTGTGCAGTTGCCCTATTCCCTGCTCTATTCAAGTGCTGGATATTTTTTCGCCCAAGAATTGTAATTCTAATTTGTTCGTTCTTTCTTAAGACGTCAATGCTTGTCGATGTCCTGTCTGGCAATGAGTTTGAAGCAAAAGTGTTTTCAGAGTCCTCAACTGAGGAGCCATGTCTACTCTATGTGCTGAAAGCTTGATTAGTAATGGAGCTCTAGTTGAAGTACTGGATGTAGATCACTGTAGACTGCAAGAGCCTAGCAGCTCTGAATCGTCTCTAAGTAAACTAAGCGAGTCTAATAGTTCTGCCACCAGTTTGGATTTGAAAACGTAGGTTTTTCTAGCTATAGTCTGAAGTTTTCGTGAAGTTAGTCGAGACCATGATAGTGCACAATTCCAGATTGTCATGGAAGCGAGGAGCATGGAGCATAGAAGATTCTATAATAGCGGATCCACCTTGGTATATTTCGATGATGGTTAAATTCTCGTGTGCAGTGATGCTTCTAGCTGGTATTTTTGCCGATTGGCTTCGAATGCGAGGTATCATCAAGGTGTCCGTGGCGAAGGACGATCCACGGCATAAGGTGAATTTACCATCGTTTTCGTTGGAATTGTCTTCGTAGACCCTACTTTTGACGGGCGTCATTCTTGCGAGTTGTGAGCATCAGGGAAAGAAATGGCGGTAATGAGGTAGTCAAAGAGTGACTTCTTTTAGGCAGCGTTTAAACCCAGCTGATACGCTGCGACGCTCCAGTACTAAAGTCTTGAGAAAACTAGTCGTTTTTCTTCTCTGCATCTCCTTCCGCAAAGTTTAAGATACTAGAATAGATAGCTCAGGCTTGGAGAAGCAAGGAGACTCATCCAGGACACATCAGGGCACATCGTCGTTGGGTCGTATTTGGTCGCCAGGAGAGGGGGGGGTCGTATTTGGGCTGAGGAAAATTTATTTTGATAGTTGATTTTTCTCGCTTCACGGACGTTGTGAAGGGGGGTCGTACTTGCTCATTGTTGGGAGGTGGAGGGGGCAGACATTAAAGACAGCCCCCGCGCTCGAGTAGTACATGGTCGTCCTTCCTTGTGCAAGTAGTACAGCCCCAAGCTAGAGACTGTCCCACTCTATTCGTCTGCACAGCGAGCGAGAAGCGAGCTTCAGCCGCTGTAAATTTCTAGGTCTACGCGGCCGCTCAGTTTGCAGGCGACTACTTGCTAGATGTCCTCCGACGGAGGCCACTCAGTTGTTCTTAGTTGGGGCGGCGGGCATTGCTAATGCCCATGGATAATTCTGCTCCCCTTTATTACAGTTTACTCATTGGAGGTATATACATTCAATTCAACTCATTTCGTGAAACGCATAAAAAGCACGAGTGACGCAATTTTCGCTGATGAAAAACCTCGACGCACAAAACGTGCGCTAAACCGCCTTTTTCCTTCCAAGAGTTTTTCCTCTGCGTTTTTGTTGTTTTCTTTTTGTATTCTTTTTTTGCACTGGATGATATCAACTACTGCGAGATGTGATAGAGAGATTGTGAGCTAGGGGTTGCACAGAGACCGCAGGGAGGTGTGACTGTGAGGGACGATTTTGTTTATGTTGTTCTGGAGACGCGTCTTGCCTGTTTCCTTCTTTGGGAGATTACTTATTAGCTACTGTTTCATAATTGGAAAGCAGCTATCCCTGAGACTTTTATCGCGGAGCTGTCTTTAAATTGACACATTAATTAACATTTGACACGTTAATTTGCGCCTTGGCAAGCATCGCGTACATTTTTGGTTTTTTTTTTTTTTTTTTCACTTCAAACAGTGTAATATAGTATAGTGAAGTTATTGTAGCGTTCTGATGTACTTGATATAAACTCTTAGTTATCTACATATTTGGCTATTATTACATGGGGTCAATATGAGGTGGTAGTTTGGTTTATTTTTATTAGTTTTATTTTTTTTATTTCAACATGTTATTTTTTTGAAAACTAACGTGATTGCATTTTCGTTGTAAATTGCAAAGCAGTTTTTGATCGTACGGTAGTCGTTCAGGGATTCGCACCACTGGATGATCACTTTGAAGCAGTTTATATCAATCATATCTATCGGAAATCGAGTGATGTGGTCAATCGGCCGATTGCTAGTGTGCCAGCTAGCGTAATGTTATTAAAGGATAGGTATACTGATGACTACGGGTGGACACAAAAGTAGGTCTCTCCAACGTTCAAAATTGTATCCCCTTCATTGTAAATCGCAACTCTTATATCTTCTGCACAGTGCCCAATACTTCGTTAGTTTCCCATTTTACAAGTCTTAAAAAGTCTGGTCTGCAGTAGTGCTTTCACTCTTTTGGTATTTTGGTTACGCATCACCGGACTAGGCTCGCTTTAGTCTTTCGAGTTCCTTAACCAGAAGCAGAATTTATATTAGATATCTCATGCTCCGCTCCTCATTTGAATGTGAGGCGGATGGCCCATGGTATTTGCAGAATTAGTAACCTTCCTAGTTTTGTGACTGCAGGGGCTTCATTGCGCTGCAGATGAAGGGCATGTTAGGCGGGAATCGGTTTGGCGGCCGCGTCGAACAACCAAAGGAGTCGCGCCAGGAAGATTTTTGAACTACGTAAATTTCGTTCAGTAGAAAACGGAAAAGCTAGAATGCGTCGTGATCATTGCCAAGTAACTAAAGAGAGTTTTAATGATCTCTAATTCTTCCAGCCTCGCCAAAAGTAAAGAGCAACACTGCGACCAGTCACGCTGAATGCTGATTCTTGCCGTGTGTGAGGTTGAAGGTGTAGCACTGGCAGCAGGCGTGCTGCCAGCCTCCATTCGGTGCAAAGAAGAACGGGGCTGGAGGATAGTGATACTCATGTGCCATCTCTACGCTCCATCCTTGCAGCGCACCCAGCCACACGCCTAACAATAGCTAAACGTGCTATTTGTCTGTGCGCTCTCCTGTTTCGCTGCGGGACCTTGGTATCGACACAAGAACCGCAGATTGAGGATAGTGCTGGCGGAAATATGGAGACGGCGCTCGGTATCACTGCCCCCCAGCCCCACATTTTCAATTCTGGGCACATTACTACATCTGAGGATCCACATGCGGCACGAAGAATGCTACGTAAATTAGGGTGCAATTCGTCTTTAACGTCCTAGATAGGGCTAATTGTAATATTCTGAAAGGTTAAGTTCCTTGATCACCCGGGCAACAAATAATGCAGGCAAATATGATCCCTGCATGGTTGTTTCCGCGAGGTCCTCAAAAAAAGGGAGCAACATGAGTGAATTTATAGAACTACCAAACCATTAGGCATTCGTAACAGTCTGTCGATGTAAGGTTGTCAAAGTTGGCTCCTGGTTCAAGATCACGGCATGGAGTCTGCAGACACTTGAGCTCAGTCCCGTTAATGGTGTCAATTTTCTGCTCGTGTATGCGCTTTCTCGCCAACATAACGTTCTGAGACAACCGTAACTTCCCACATTGCACCTCTTCACGTACGCTAAGCGGCTCACTCACCACGGAGTACCCTGCCTCCCAGGAGACCCATTTCCTGGCTAATCATATGTTCCCCGCTCATTTCGGCGCGAGGGCTGGATAGAGGAAGCAGCGAATAGCAATAAAAATGGTTCAAGAGGGGGAATCGTCGACCGCCTTGGCGAAACGCCGGCCAGCGCGAGGCCAAACGCGAACGCGAAAGCTGGGCACGTAACGATTCCGCTGACTCCACCCACGTGGAGAAGGGGAGAGTGGGCGAAGCACCCGATCCGCTGATTCCTTATCGATATGAAATAGAATCGGCGGATCGGGTGCTTCAATCCTTTTCGCGGGTACATGAAATTTCACTGACAATCCCTCTAATCATATAACAGACACCCTCAATCGAGAATGGTCATGAACTTCCTTTCCACCGCTCTTTCGCAAATTTTTTTTCAAGGAAGTAGATAGAAATAGCATGCTAAAACGAGATATAGCCCCCAGATCAGGGTACGCCATCGTTGTGATCATCA